AAAAAAAAAAAAAAAAAAGAATAAAAAGAAAAGATCGCCCCGTGTCGTCGTCGTCGTCGTCGTCGTCGTCGGTCGTTGACGAGGTACTTTCAATTGAAACGAGCACGGACTCGTATAGCTCTCTGAATCTATTTTCCTCTGTGAAACGGGGGAACTGTGTACGGCATTCCTGCTAAATATAGTGGCTAAGAACATGCAAGACAACTTCCCTTATCCCGGATTAGAATGCTGTTGTAGCGAACTATTACAAATGACGCTCTGAATAATCACATATTTGTCTCAGCGTCTTCGAAACAGTAGAACCCCCTGTGCCTTCGACTCTTTCTCCAGTTCTCTCTCTCTCTCTCTCTCTCTCTCTCTCTCTCTCTCTCTTTCTCTCGTAATAAGTTTCCACCATTATTCCCGCACAGGCTGTTGTTGGACGTCGTCGCTCGTGTGCAATTGCTCCTGATGTGCACATCCATTAATCAAGGGCGGATCGAAGTGGTTGCACCACGACGAGTTGACTGTGTTCTTCGCTTTCCCCCTCCCTCCCTCCAACCCCCTCCCCCTCCTTCCTTTCTTTCTTTCTCTTTTTAGAAATCGTACGGGACGGTCGTACAAGCGCAGTCCAAAGCACGACCGAAGTATGCACCACTTACCACGAGGAATTTGAACACGTGGCGATAGGCCAATCTACTATTCCCGTCTTGGAACTTGTTGCAAATTAATTAATTAATTAATTAATTAATTAATTAATTGGCTAGAAACACGTAATGTATGTACGCTGAACTGAGTAGTGCACGCATTAGACACACGATATTGATAGATAGATAAATAGACCGATAGATAGAGACGATAGATAGAGGAAGAATGTGTATCGTGGCTCGTTGATAAATTATCGCTCGAAAATGAAAGCTTCCCCACTTTCCGAGATTAGTTTCCCCTCTTTTTCTCTTTCTCTCTCTCTCTCTCTTTCTTTCTCTCTCTCCTTTCCTGCGTAATCACCGTACGCTAGAGCTTCCCCAGTCGTTGTAAATTACTTTTGCAGTAGAGAGCTGCTTCGGCTTTCCTTTGTCTCTGAGGGGAAATCGCGGGATGGTTCGACAAAAGAGCTCGTTCCGATTCGAGTAATACACGCACTGTTTCTCAAGAGTGTATCTATCTCGACGTTGATATCGTCCCGATGCTTTTAATTAAACTTATCAAACAAGCAACACTGAAACCTGACTTATCGACTGTTCTATATTAAGCAGGGGCAATCGTGACTCCGTCGCGGGATCGATTCGTTCGCGTTTTTTCTTTTTTCTTTCGCGAGATCGCGGCTTCATGGTGCCGAGACGTTTCGTTTCATTGTGGAGAGACAATGGTGGAGATTTAATTATTAATTAAATAAAATTCAGTTCAATTGAATT